GAATATGAAAGAGAAACCTGTGTAATATCTGCAGAGCAGAACTTACCTTCCACAGCTATTATTTTTAGTTAGCATATAGCTAAAATCTAACCATGGTTATATAATAGCAGCTGCATTCTGGCGCGATAAGCTCTATGTTTTATATTCAATTAACGTATGATCCGATTAGTCGACTAATCTAATAAATAATGTGTGATTAACCGATTATTAAAATAATCGTTTGTGGCAGCCCTACTCTCCATAGAAAGAGATCCTTGAAGAAAGCGCAGGCAATTTTAGCTGAGCCTAACCCGCCCCTCTTCACAGAGTTTTCTCTTTTACCATCAGGACACAGATTTGCTTTAAAAAGATGTCGAACCAACAGATTTAAGAATTCCTTTTTACCTGCTGTTATCGTCCTTTTAAATACTTCTTGTTGATTGTTGTGTGTTTGTAATTTTTACACCTATACCATGATGGTTTTTATGTTTTTTTTTACTGTATTTGTGGTTGATGATTGTTTTTGTTCCTGCTGGCTGTGACCCAAATTGCCCCATGGGGATATTAAAGATTACTTGAACTTGAACAGTGTGTGTTCAGTGCASTGTGATTCCTCTGACCTTGGCCACTTCCTCCACAGGATCCATGATCCCGTGAGGAAACTGAGGCGCAGAGCAGACCAGCATGGCCGTGTTCTTGCTGATGGCCCGCCTCATGGCCTGGCAGAGTAAACACAAAACAGACAAATAAAGAGACGTAAAAATAAAAAAATTGTGACGAGTCCAGAACGCTGTCAGGACGCCGACCTCTCACCTTCACGTCAACTTTCATGGTCTTCTTGTCCAGAGGGATGTGGACGAGCTTCATCCCGAAGTAATGGGCCGCTTTGTCAAAGGCTGCGTGGACGCTGACCGGAGCAAGACTGTCCAAAACAAGACGAATGAGACATGTGTGTGTCTCTGTCCACCAGTGTACCTGTCCACTAGAGTCCTGTCCACCAGACTACCTGTCCACTAGAGTCCTGTCCACCAGACTACCTGTCCACTAGAGTCCTGTCCACCAGACTACCTGTCCACTAGAGTCCTGTCCACCAGACTAACTGTCCACTAGAGTCCTGTCCACGAGACTACCTGTCCACTAGTCTCTGTCCACTAGAGTCTCTGTCCACCAGACTACCTATCCACTAGAGTTTCTGTCCACCAGTGTCTCTGTCCACTAGAGTCTCTGACCACTAGAGTCTCTGTCCACTAGAGTCCTGTCCACCAGACTACCTGTCCACTAGTCTCTGTCCAGACTACCTATCCACTAGAGTCTCTGTCCACCAGACTACCTATCCACTAGTCTCTGTCCACTAGAGTCCCTGTCCACCAGTGTCTCTGTCCACTAGAGTCTCTGACCACTAGAGTCCTGTCCACTAGAGTCCCTGTCCACTAGAGTCCCTGTCCACCAGACTACCAGTCCACTAGTCTCTGTCCACTAGTCTCTGTCCACTAGAGTCCCTGTCCACCAGTGTCTCTGTCCACTAGAGTCCCTGTCCACTAGAGTCTCTGACCACTAGAGTCTCTGACCACTAGAGTCCTGTCCACTAGAGTCCCTGTCCACTAGAGTCCCTGTCCACCAGACTACCTGTCCACCAGAGTCTCTGACCACTAGAGTCTCTGACAACTAGAGTCTCTGACCACTAGAGTCCCTGTCCACTACAGTCCTGTCCACTACAGTCCTGTCCACCAGTGTCTCTGTCCAGTAGTGTCCCTGTCCACTAGAGAAGATTCACAGTAAAGTAGTGTTGTAATAAAACTCATACATCTCAGGGACCTTGACTCCTCGTTCGTAGGCCAGGTCTCTGTAGGCCTTGCAGGCCATCAGGATGCTCTCCGTTCCTCCTGAGGTCACCTTCAAGACAAGAGTTGGAAAAGTCAAAACAACCTTTTCCTCAGTTTTACTTGTCTCCTGAGCTTCTACAGCGAGGACGTCGACTCACGGTGCCGCAGGAACCGGGTCCTCCGTGGAAAAGCTCACAGGACATCCGGACCACCTCAGCTTCCATCTTCCTGACGCCGGGGAAGATGTCCGGGTGAAGAGGGTTGCTCCACGCAAAGTCCCCGTAGACCTTCAGGTACCGTAAATATGAGGGGAGAAATAAACGGCCAAAATATCCTTTTGATTCAACATTTCTAGAAACTGAATCCTGACTCAACGAGCAGCACTCAGACTACGTGTTGTGAATGACTCTCTGCTACTACCACACATTTTAGTTCACCATTTATAAAACCAACTGGATTCTCGTATACCAGTTGGATGTGGCGGCCATCTTAGACATGTTTTCAGTGATTACGTTCAAGTCCATCATGAGATACTATGGTTTCTTGCAAACATGAACAAAATATATTTATTATCCACCTTCACCTTTCAGCAGCAGTGGATACAAAATTTGTGGAACCGAAATCCAGCAGTGGGCACAGTTCCAATAATCTACTAATAGCGGAACTAGCTTCTCATTTAGCAAACCAGCATTTTTTCCTAACTTTGGAAAAAGTTACCAGACCCATTAGCTTCCTCTATATTAAGTTCTGCTAATTTTAAGTGTGTTAAGCTTAACTCCCAAATGAAATACAAACTATCCCCTCAAACAAGCAGTGCTGGACGTGGCAGGCACTGTGTGTTAGCATGTAGCATCTTTAGCACCTAAACTTCAAACTAATGGCGTCAATAAATAAATATGGCGGCCACAGCTAACCAAAAGTTTAGCTTCACTAACCACTAATCCACTAAACAAGAATCTTAGCTACGCTAACGCACTATACAGACCTAATACGAACCGCTAAGACTGTCAGTCTTCATCTCCTTCCAGTTTAAGATTGGCGGGATTTTTCTATTGGTTTAATTTGATGGTGGGCGGGATCATCTGTGGCAAATCAGCCAATCCGAACCAGAATTGAAGCAATCTTTATATACTAATATTTAAGTAACAAACACAAAATGTACTATGTTGACTATAAAATATGGTAGAGAAAGTATTTGCTATTTTCTTGTTTTACAAATTTCTAAGAGCATTCATAAAAAATACAATGTACCTGTTGTTTTTAATTTGTTTTAATTTTAATGTTTTTCTATTTGATGTTTTTAAATTGTCTTACTGAAATGTGAAACTACGTGCTGCATTTGCTGCTGCTGCCGCCAATCTTGGCCAAGTCTTTCTTGAAAAGTAGGTTTTTAATCTCAATGGGACTTCCTGGTTAAATTACAAATAAATAAAAATACYAACTCAATCAAAGAAATGCTTTTATTCTGAAAGGGTTCGGCTGAAAGTATCGCAAGTTAGAGCTCCAACTGGTTGGGATTGGCTCATTTGCCACAGATGATTCTGCCCACCTTCAGATTAAACCAATAGAAAACTAAGAAAAGGGTTTGCTTCAGTTCCACCAGTCTTCAACTGACAGTCGTCTCAGCAGTCAGTGTTAACGTCCACTAATTTTTAATCTATTTAGCTGTAAATGTTCATTTCCACTAAGTTTGTTTCTGTTTAGCACTTAACGTTAGCTTCCACTAATTTTGTATCTATTTAGCAGTTAGCATTAACGTCAACTAATTTTGAATCTATTTAGCAATTTAGCGTTAGCTTCCACTAATTTTGTATCTGTTTAGCACTTAGTGTTTACGTCTACTAATTTTGAATCTATGTAGCAGTTAGCGTTAACGTCCACTAATTTTGTATCTATTTAGTGGTTAGCGTTAACGTCCACTAATTTTGTATCTATTTAGCGGTTAGCATTAGCTTCCACTAATTATGTATCTGTTTAGCAGTTAGCATTAACYTCCACTAATTTTGAATCTATTTAGCAGTTTGTGTTAACGTCCACTAATTTTGTATCTATTTAGCAGTTAGCATTAGCTTCCACTAATTTTGAAACTATTTAGCAGTTAGCGTTAACATCCACTCATTTTGAATCTATTCAGCAATTTAGCYTTAGCTTCCACTAATTTTGTATCTGTTTATTAGTTTAGAGATAGCAGAGCTAAGATTCTAGCAGATTAGTGGTTATTAAAGCTAACGTTAGCTGTGTGCACCACTGCTGAAATCCAAAGTCAGATACAAACCTTCACCAGGAGTTTGGTCAGGGACTCGTCCCCCCAGTACACCCCCCCTGAAACACAGCCTTTCTCCCACTGCACCTCATCTGTAACGACACGTCTCATAAATAACCGGCTCTTTATCCAGTTGTTTTTCTCAAAATTAATAATTTATGTTAGAGATTGTCGTCTGTAGGCTTCAAGGATGAATCCAGACTTACTGAGGGTCTGGTACTCTTTGATTCTGTCCAGGACTTGGCTCTGAGAGAGACCTTTAGAGGGCAGCTCCTTCATGTAGCTCATCCCGTCCTTCAGTGTGAACAGACTGTGAGACATGTCGTCCAACGCTTTGTTCAGCTGCCTCTGGATCTGAGAGCAGAAACAGCAGAACCYCATTTTATTAACCACAAGCAGCTGACGAAAGATAAACCGTGTTATCATCAGCATGTAAAGTGTGCCAAACGTCTGGCTCCGCCCCCCACCCCCACGTCTCATCCTGCGTGACTCATGAGACGGGATGAAGAGACCAACGCACCGTGACGCCGATGAAGGGGATTTTTCTGATGAGTCGAAAACATTTCTTCTTGATTCGGGATGTGAAACCTAAAAAACAACAACAAAAACTAAGAAGTGAGGCAGAAGTGTGGGGAAAGTCAGGGAAAACATTCAGGAGGATAAAAAAAAACAGCTGATCCTGACTCATGGTGTGACACAAGGACAAGTTAAAAACAGATTCTCTGAAAGGACGTTTTCATTGAGATTATGTCCCTGTCCAACAGTGTCCCTGTCCAACAGTGTCCCTGTCCAACAGTGTCTCAGTCCAACAGTGTCTCAGTCCAACAGTGTCTCGGTCCAACACTGTTCCTGTCCAACAGTGTCTCAGTCCAACACTGTTCCTGTCCAACAGTGTCTCAGTCCAACATTGTCCCTGTCCAACATTGTTCCTGTCCAACAGTGTCTCAGTCCAACATTGTTCCTGTCCAATATTTTCCCTGTCCAACAGTGTCTCAGTCCCACATTGTTCCTGTCCCACATTGTTCCTGCCCAACAGTGTCTCAGTCCAACATTGTTCCTGTCAAATATTGTTCCTGTCCAACAGTGTCTCAGTCCAACATTGTTCCTGTCCAACAGTGTCTCAGTCCAACATTGTTCCTGTCCAACAGTGTATCTGTCCAACATTGTGCCTGTCCCACATTGTTCCTGTCCAACAGTGTCTCTGTCCCACAGTATCCCTGTCCAACAGTGTCCCTGTCCAACAGTGTCCCTGTCCAACAGTGTCTCTGTCCCACAGTATCCCTGTCCAGCAGTGTCCCTGTCCAGCATTGTTCCTGTCCAACAGTGTCTCTGTCCCACAGTATCCCTGTCCAACAGTGTCTCTGTCCCACAGTATCCCTGTCCACCAGTTTCTCTGTCCACTAGTGTCTCTGTCCTCCAGTGTCCTTGTCTACCAGGGAAAATTCACACTGAATTAAAACGTGTGCACAAAACTATTTTGAAAGTCTGTGAACTGGTTTTGTAAACATTCCAGTTTGAAAACAGAAAAATTCATTAAAATAAATCATTAAAAACCTAAAATAAATCATAATTTAGTCTCATAAAGAGAATAAATCAAGTCCAGACAGAAACTGGGTCTGGTCTGGTC